GGAACGGGTGGAATGTTGGCGGCAGACTGGAGACGATGTGTTCTTTAACCAGCCTCTGGAAGCACTTCATCATGATGGGAGTCAGAGCGACAGGCCGCTAATCATTGAGGGAGGGGACCTGAGGCTTCTTTGAGGGCAGAATGATGGCAGACTTAAAGCAATAGGTCTACTTTCAGTTTTCCCCCCTGCCAGTCTTCTTGTTCTGTTTTTGTTTTTTTCTCGTTTCAAGTCCTTAGAATGACTCGGTGCTGCCCAGTGGGTTTCTTTGTTAATAAAGTCAGTCGTTGTCTGTTCATATGATTCTGGCTCTTCTGATAAGTTTTCTGTAGTGTTGGTGTTTCTATTTCACCCCCATCTCAACATGAAGGATTATTTTTATGTAGATAAAACAACCCATAATAACAGCACAATGTAGAAGAATACTTTCACTCTCTGTGAAAGTCAGGATCAGACCTGTTTGTTTTTTAATGCCCAATCCTACCCTAACCCCACCCTCCTTATCCAGGGTGGAGTCACTGTAGTCTACATAAAAGTGGACTGAAAAAGGAAAGCAAAGATAAAAATATACAAAGAGCAGCTTTGATGGCAGGTAAGTAGAATCTCCTAAAATATGGAAAAAAACATGGTATCTGAAAAGCAATTAAACATGTTGAAAAATGTATTAGAGATTAATCTTAATTTTTTCCTAATTTACTTACTGTGTTTTATATTAGTACAGAGTTAGAATATTATGCAAGAACTTACTGCTCTGCCATGGCTCTTTCGTTACATGCAGGATGTTAAATATTTACATTACAATCACTTAGATTTCTCTGTTTACTCCAATATACATAAATAAATATTATTTCGCTAAATGAAGAACTAACACTGTGAAGTCAATAGTATAATGAAAAGTGCCACTTTAAGAAATTATGGGTCATCTTTTAAGTGATTCTAAAGGGATTTTTGTTTTGCATATTTTTCCAGACTGTTGTTAGCACTCCAAATACAGTTGATAAATTTCACTTTTACTTCCCAACCTTAATTGTATACTGTTACTCCGATCGATTTTCAATGTTTGGTTTAGTTATTCATTGTTTTACTTTTTACTTATACTTTTCATTACATTAATTAAGTAACATCTACTTTTACAGTAATTTTTGCTGCGTTTTGCTGTTGTTATAGCTTGATATTTTTCTCTTGCGTGTAAAGAAAACAACTCTCTGATTAATTAAGTCCTAAAAAAACTGGAGGACTTTATAAATGTGTCTAATTTAGCGAATAACTTTTACAGATTTGGGACATCTTACCAGATATGCAGACTGAAGTTGTAAGTTTACCTACAACCTTCTGAAGATTTAAATAGAGGAAAACATAGACAAAATGGCATTCAGGGAGTATTTTGATGTTTCTTCTGGTAAGTATAACCCTCTAAATTATGTGAGAAATTATGTTATTTGAAATGTACCTCAGTTAATTGAGAAGACTTTTTTTATTTTAAATGTGTTTATCATCTTAAAACCCATTTGGTTATTTATTAGGGATGTAACAAGACATCAGTCCATTTTTTTTACATTGATGAAATGATTCCCAATCAAATTTTTTGCCAAATGAAAACATCAATCCTTGTTGTCATCGAATGAAATGCCACTTTGGTGAACTGTTCTTATTTCTTATTTAAAAGAATACTGCTTTTAATTCAAATGACTTGTAATATTGATGCTAATGACTGAGTTGGGTGGATAATGATATTGCATCATTCATCCCTGCTGCCACCAGACTCTACAATGCGACACGATAACAGCAATAACTTGTGAAATGGATAATTCGCAATTACTATTTATTACCCTGTGCAATAACTTGTTTCTTTATATTTGATACCTAGTGCAATAACTATATATTAATACCCATGTAAACACCCTGTGCTTAAAAAAAATAAAAATAAAATAACAGGACTTAAAAAGAGACTTCAGCAGTCATATGTGGAGGCACTGTATATACGGTATTCACTCCAGTGCACCTTTTCTTCCTTTGGCACATTCTCTTCTTCTTCTTTGTCTATTTCAGCTGATGTAACAAGTAATAATCTAAACAAATCAGTACAATACTATGTTATTATAAAAATTCCAAATCCATCAACTGATCTACTTCCTATAGTTCTAGTGAGGACGCAGGCAGCGGCGTCTGGATCNGTAGTCTTCTACTGGCTGTTATCAGGTATATCTGATTGTGTACAATAGGATTTTGAGCAAAGTTTTTACCATTAGATTATGCAAAAGTTGTCAGATGCAAAACATTTCAGAAACCGTATGTATCGAATATGATACATTTGGCATTACAGGGTTAACCTTTAACTGTGATTCATGGTCATCTAAGTAGCCCAGATTTTTTAAACTAGTAAAGAAAAACACAACATTTAAACTATGTTTCCTCAAGCTTCTTGCATAATATTACTAACTTGTATAAACTTTAATCTGTTGCCATTTTTAACTGAAAAAGCTCCCTATGTTTATGTTCTTTTTGGTGGCATCTCCAATTTTTTTTTTTTTTTTTGCATTTGAGCTGATATAAAAAGTGAATTTCCCCACTGTGAGATCAATAAGTCCATCAATCAGTCAATTATTAATTTAGACAGCATAGATGAGAAAGTTTTTACATCCATCGTCTTCGGCTTCATGAAAATCCTGTTTTGGTACATTTCAGTTTTCAGCCAGCGTTATTAAACTTTCCTGACTCTTCTTCTGCGAGTTTTCCCCGAAGGGTAAAATTACGAGGGACATTAAAACACAAACATCATACAGAGGACTTGCTGCAGGTATGAACTGTTCAACCAACAAAGCAATTTAAGTTTAAAGTTTTTCGATTAAACAAAATAAATCAACACACCTCAAACATAAAACTGACCTTTAACGTCTTTCTTCCTTCACAGATTTAAATAAATTGAAAATGATGTCTCCTTATTAATTAATTATCACAGTAAAGCACAGCAGGGCTTTTTCTGGCCTCTTTCAAATTAGAAATTCTTTGTTGAAGAGAGAAGCTGCATGATTGTGTGATTAGATGTTAGAAACCAACAAATAATGAATAAATCTACTGATAACTTTATAAATGTGGCTCATTAATGTGCTCGGTTGCAGCTACAGCCCTGCTACCAACGGTCGCTAACATAACATAACGTAGCGCCTCCTCCTGGAGCATCACCTGTTGTTTGGTGGATAATTCAGTCTAACTTGATACATAAATAACTGGATGTGATTAAAATTAGATGAATACTGACCTTTAGAAGTCTGTTACCAAGAAAGGCTTGAACTAATTTGTGTTTATTAGATAAAAGATATTGTTTTGCACTTTCAGCTAAATGGAGGAAACGTCTCATGAAGCTTCCTAGTGCAAAAAGAAAACGATAGGGAGAGATAAAAAAAAAAAAAAACTTAAAACATTTAGAGGTAATTTAGAGGATAAACATGGCAGAGAAGCCGAGCCCCAACAATGGGAACCGAACTCTGCCACTACACCTCTCACAGCACGGGATTAGAAAACCAGTAAAGGAACGGACCCTGGTAAATGCAGAGGAGGACTGAGAAAACATCAGGAGGTCAGAGACCAAAAAATCACTTCCTGGAACAAACTCAAACCGTCGCATTTGGAGGAAGAAGACTAGTTTCATCCAAAGAACACTGTATCTACTGGGAAGCATGGTGGAGGAAGCATCATGCTTAGGCGCT